TACAATCCTGTCTTCTGGCCTCCAAGGGGGCACTGCATGCATGTGGTGAACAGACATACCAGCAGGCAGAACTGAGCCAGTAAGGGACTTTCCAACAAGCTGAACAACTTGAGTTTGATCCCTGGAACCCACATGATGGAAGAAAAGAACGGACCTTTGCATGTTGTGCTCTGACCTCCACTAAATCACATGTGCATCACTCCCCCATGCACAAACACATATACACACTAAATAAACACATGTAAAAATGCCTAAAATTCATACAGAAATTAATTAATTAAAAAATAAGATTTAAGCTGGTCAGTGTCATTGCACCTGGGATGCTGAGTTTGAGGCCAGCCTGATCTACAGAGTGAGTTCTAGGATAGCCAGAGATAAACAAAGAAACTCTGTATTGAAAAACAAATAATAAAGCCTATAGTTGGCCAGATGGTAACTGAGGCAGAAGTTCTAGGAAACTCATGTTACTTATTGAGGGAAAACAGGTGAAAATTAAAGAGACAAGATTTTAATAGAAAAGGAAAAAGTTGGTCAGACAGAAAAATAAAACAAAGCAAAGGATTCTGTTGGTTAGGTAGGGCCTTTCCAGTCACCCTCTGCCTCCTGGACATGATACCACGTTCAAAGGAAGTTGTATCTTCTCAAGCTTAAGCAGTCCTGAGGATGTGGCTGGAGAAGCCTTTGTGTTGTTATGGTGGGAAATTAATTTATACTCTTCTGGAGAAGATGAATCCTTGCTCTGACAACAGACAAAAAAAATCCAGAAAATTATCCCTCTGTCTGCTGCACTTGGCTGGATTCCAAGTATTTCCCAGCTCTTGTGGGAAAAAAAAACACAATCGCAGTCCCTGCTGCAGGCCACATCTCCTGGACGGCTATACTGGCCCCGTCTACTGTTCTCCTTTCTCAGGATGTAGGTGACTCTAGACCTGAGGATTTACGTATAGAGACTTCTCCCTCAGTTGGTTTTTATTATATTTGCCCAAGATAAAGAGTCATATAATTGCAATTACTTTGTTTTGATTTGTGGTTCTGGAGATCAAATTCAGGGCTTTGCGCACAGAAGACCTCTCTTTCTGAATTAATTACACATTGAGTCCTTGTCTTTAGAAACAGGATTCACCATGTAGCCCATGCCTGGCCTGGAAATCCCATTTCTTCTGCTGCACCTCCTGAGTATTGGGATTTCAGGTGTACACCACACCTGGGAAGACTATTTTTTATTCTGTGTGTATGGGTGTTTTGCTTGCACGTGTATCTGTGCACCACATGTGGGCGGTGCTTTGGAGGCCAGAAGAGGGTATTGTATCCCTGGAAGTGGAGTTCCAGATGGTTGTAAGAGGTTGAAACAGCTGTGCTCTCTGCAAAGGCAGTAAGTGCTGTTAACGTTTGAATTAGCTCTGCAGTTCCATGGGGCTTTTTACTTGTTTGTTTGACTTTAAAGACAGGGTTTTGATGTGCATCCCAGACTTGACAAGATGTACCATAGGCTGTCTCAAGATCCCCCTGACTTATATAGCCCAGACTGTCCTGAACTAAGCAGGTTTTTCTGTTTCAGCCTCCTGTATGTTGTATTACAAGCATGAGCTTTCATTCCCAGTCTGTGAGCTTTACTTGGAAGAAGGGTTCATTCTGGCTTTGGACAGCTCTATATGAGAAGAGTGCACAGCGTGGGCGGAGAACTACCTCAAAGGAAGCAGTCAGGTCCCTCATTAGTGACCCGGGACTTCACAGCTCCTCGACAAAGAACAAGAATGAAGTGCTGTTAGGTCCAGAGAAAAACAAATCCAGATATAGAATGACTTAGTTCCCAGCTCTGTTCGTTTACACTAACTCTTTTTTTCACCAGTTGTTTCCCAAAGGGACACTCAGACTGTGAGTGTGATTAACTGTCGCAGTAGCATGTCCTGATGTCATCTCCCTTCATGCTGTAGGTGTCAGCCACACACAGCCTTTCTCTTTCTAAGGCCACAAGTGTTTGTAAGGTGACTCCTTGTTAAGGAGGTCAATTTCTTCTTACTTTCAGCAAGCAAAATGATGAGAACTGTCTCTCAGATACTGGAAACAGGATTGTATAAAGTAAGCGCTTGAGAAATATCCAAAAAGAGGTGTGCATAAAGAGAGTGGTACATGTTAGGAGGCTAGATTAGGCCCATGAATCTCACTGAACAGGTTGAGAAGAGCATTGTCATGTCTTGCTTCTCTCCAAATGAAAGCAATTGAAACCCTGACAAGTAGTAAGTTACAGTGTCTTGAGAAAGCTCAGTGTAAACCAGTGACAACCTCCTTGCCCAGGAGCAGATCCAATGTTTGCTTTTCGACTTTTAATAAGACATTTTTTTTGAGCCTTGGTGTAATATTTTAAAATCCTTGATATGTAAGTTATGGGGAAGGGTTAGCTCAGTGTAAGAGCCTTCTCTAGCATGTGTGTGTGTGTGTGTGTGTGTGTGTGTGTGTGTGTGTGTATTTAAGAATAAGAATAACTGGGTTTAGTTGGGCTTGGTGGCATGTTCCTTCAATCCCCAAAGGTAGATCTTTGTGAGTATCAAGCCACCTTGGTTCACATAGCAAGTTCCAGGCCAGTCATATTAAGGTCCTTTCTAAAATAAGTACAAACAAAATAAAAATTGGCTTTGTCAGCCAGACATGGGGTTGTGCACCTTTAATCCTAGCACTCAGGAGGCAGAGACAGGCAGATCACTGTGAGTTCAAGGCCAGCCTCATCTATTTAGTGAGTTCTAAGCCAGTCATAGAGAGAGACCCTGTCTCAAAATTAAACAACAACAAATTGGCTTTGTCTACCTAAGATTTTTAATGGGGAAGAAAAAATGAGGCATTATGAAGACAAATTGTAAAGCACTATTTAAATGCAAAGAGTAAAGTAAAAAGTACAAAGATAAACATAGATCAAAGCTATAAATTAAGTAATCAAAATACCAGGAATTTCCATTAATTTTTCACAATTTTTTCTCAACATATTACACCAAGACTTTTCCTTCTTTCTTGTGTTCAATATTAGTTGCATGAAATTTTGACACATGCAACATTTATGTCACAAAATATCAGCAGCCTAGAGACATATTAGGTCCCTTTGAAGGAAGGAGGTTCCTTTTCTAACTTTCAGATTTTGCCATCAATAAATAGTTGCAAGCCACTCACAAATTCCAAGTGCTAAAGAAATGGGAATATTTGTGTTTTAAATAAACATCCCTTTCTCCTTTGGTGCCACACTGTACACCCCCAAAATCTGTTTGCACTTATAATTTGCTTTATCTCCCAAGTTTGTGAGTCCAGAGGACTGAAGCTTACACATGGCTGCTTGTTACCATTCACAGGAGCAATCTCAAACTCATCACATGCTTGTCTTTAACCCCATACTAAGCCTACGCCATTTAAACTGAAACTACAAAACGTTACAGAAAGAACTCACATTTGCGAGGCAGAGAGGTTTTATCCCTTGATGTTGAAATCTGAGCAGAAATCTTCAAATTGGATTGTTTAATAATGACTCCATCAAGTTTTCCCTTAAAGCTTTCTAAGCTTGTCAAGAAAGGCCAGAGGTAATTCACATTCTCTTCATTTCTCCCTGGCTCATTTCTCACTCCCATGGAGTTTTGTGCTATATATATTTCAAACCTTGTCTATTCTTTTTGTTGGAAATGATTCACATACTATCCCCCACTTTTTTTTTTTTTTTTTTTTTTTTTTTTTTTTTTTTGCTGAGGCTTTCAATCTGCTATATCTTAAACCAACAGAAGGACAAGGGCTTGAGTTCGTAACCTTTGAAACCTCTTGATACTTGCTGAGTTGGGTGATCAAGGGGCAGATGGGAAAGGAGACTGTTGACTGGACTTTACTCCATCAGGAAAAGCTCTTCTAGATAGCCTAGCCAATCCATTTTAAAGGGGGTTTTTAATCTTCCTAAAAATCACAAGTGTTTTAGAGCATTTTCCAAAAAGTGAAGCCAAATTTGCGTAGATTGGGGAATTTAGTTTGATTGTCTTACTAAAACAGAATCTCAGTGTATAGCTCTGGCTGGTTTAGAACTCAATATGCAGGCCCAGGCTGGCCCTGAACTCAGACAGATCCGCCTGCCTCTGCATCCCAAGTGCCAGGATTAAAGATGTGTGTACCACCATGCCCTTTGGAATCTTATGTTTTAGACTTGTTTTAAAACCTTTAGTTTTTCAGTGATGTGTGCAGTATTGTTTCATGTTGTTTTCCCAAAGTACTTTACAATTAGAAATAGACACTTCTTGAGGTAAAGCAACAGTTTTGAATTAAATTCTTCAGGGTTGTGGAGGAGCAACGTACTTAAAGGATACACATCTCTTAATATCAGCAAATCTGCTCCACGACCAGTGAAAGGCTAGCCATTCTCCCATCCGAAGTTCAAGTAATTTATAGGTGGATTAAATATTAGGTGTTGCAGGACCAGATCAGAGTCCTCCTTATCGTGCTTCAGATGAACGTTGCAACTACTGCATCTTCTTCATGATTTGTTTACCTTTCATGATAGTCCCTAAAAGAAACTCTTCAGTCTTAAGTCCTTCCATGCTGCCCCTACCAACCCCCCGCCCCCAATTTCAGGAAACAGCTTGATGATGATATCCTTACAGCCTTCTCGACCTTGTCCTCAAATGACCCATACCTCAACATTTTAGTACACAGGCCAGTTTACTTCTGAAGGCATTAAATGTCTGCAAAACTGTGCAGGTGGAGAGCTCACAAACGCTGTGCGACCTGAGATGCAGCCTTGGCCACCCTTCCCTAGCTCCACCAGAAGGAAAAAGATTGAAATGTTTTAAACCTTTTGCTCGGTGATCTTCGCGTGGTGGTGGTGGTGGTGATGGTGGTGGTGGGGTGTTACTAATATCTGAATAGAAAAGCGGTGGGAAACTGTGGCTGGGGATGGCGAGGAACCAGGTGCGGGGCGGGCAGAGGGGCGGGCGAGCGGGCGGAGCCTCGGTCCGAGAATACACGCCGCTGCTAAAAGGGAAGCACATTCGCGAGCACAGGGGCTGGCGCAGAGCGATGGAGCAGGCTGCGGCGTGAGCTCAGATCCGAGGCCGGCGAGAAGGCACAACCACAGCAGGTGGAAATCTGACCCAGAGCCAACCAGCGAGAAGAAAGTACCTGAGCACGGCGTCTCCTCCGCCCTCAGCTACTGAGAACTACTTTTACCCTCATCGTAAAAGAGACTGAGGGGAGGTGAAGGCGACCTGTCCTATTAGGAGGAAGGCTCCAGACAATCCCGATCAGGGCAAGCCGCCGCCCGGTACACGGAGCAGAGCCATACTGGGCTTCTGAAGATAAACCCTTTTCCGGAGAAATCCAGCTGGAGTCGCTGGTACAGTTCTATTTTTGTATTTAAATATATAGGCTCTTCGCCTCCCTTTAAAAAAAAAAAAGACAAAAAACAGGGTCCTTTCTGGTAGCAGGAGTGACACGTGTCAGTACAGAGTGGGAATATTTACAGCTCGCTCTCTCATTTGCTGTCACTTTTAGAGGCTAGGAGCGCTCTCTCTGAAACGGGCTTTTTAATTTTCCCCCCACGTATCTATACATTTACGTTTGAAAAGAGAGACAGCTCCTTTTAGCTTTTGGAGATCCGAACCTACGGCGAAAGATGGAAAAGGGGACCCGACACCGAAACAACACTGCGAAGAACCACCCGGGTGGGAGCAGACCCGACAGCAGCCCTGAGGCCGAGGCTGGCTCTGGAGGGGGCGGAGTAGCCCTGAAGAAGGAGATCGGATTGGTCAGCGCCTGTGGTATCATTGTAGGTGAGTCCAGGTCCTTTAGGCCCCCAGAGCAACCCCATTCCCTCTCCAGGGGTCCTCCGTGGGACTATAAACCCTCCATAGCCTCTTAAGCAGCTTTGCTTTGCCGGGTTGTCACTCACCTGAACCGGTCAAATCTAAGCTATGGCAAAGTGATGTCTGTTATATATCGCTTCAGCCAAGCCAGGCAGAGCTGCTCTTTCCTCAGAATAGAACAAATAGAGTTCAGGAACCAGGCTGGCCCTGTGTCCTAAGCATTGCCTGGGAATTTGCTCTTCACTCGGCAGCACTGGTCCAGGAGATCGTAATTCAGGCTGAGACACGGATTTTTAACTAGCTTTTACTCCGCCACCCTCAGCAGGCTGTGCACCTGCTTTTGGAGCCTATTTAATATTTTGTTATCATATGTTATGAAGCTCTGCAGTATGTCATTAAAAAGAGCAAAACCAGTAATAGTACTGCTCCGATTCTTTGTAGGAAGGTCCATCCTATGCAGCACTTGTGAAATATATGTGGCTGGGCAGTTCTTCCTGTCTCGTAGATGAGGAAAATATGGAAGGGAGAACTGCCTGATTTGACTATGTTCTTCTCTAAATGGAGTTTGCCGCTTCTCTGGTTGCCTAGTTGGAGGCACCTGTGTGTTAACACCCACAAGACCCTGTGAGGTTCTTGGAGGGGATTAGGAGTAACTATAATGTGGGGTAGAGGAGGAATTGATGAGGGAAATGCGTGGCTTGGACGCTCTTTGAGAGAGGAGCCTGAGCCTGGGCGATCCTGGGAGAGCCAGTAGAGAGGTCTGCCTTCCCAACAATACTTGTGCAAGGCAAGGGCTTCCGGAGACAACGCCATGCCTACACAGTACACAGGGCTTTGTAAGGAAGCCTTGGAAGTGAGCACTCGACAATGTGGCTCATCACTGCCCTCCTTCAAAGAGGGGCCTTTAGTCTACTGTCTGGCAGAGGGCTTCTTCCCTGGGAGAGGTATGCTCAGACTCGGCTGTTACCTCTCTGGAGTTCCTTGGGAAGGTGTACCTTGTCTTGCCGCCCATGAATTAGTTTCTGGATGGCACAGTGTTCCGCGAACGGCTCAGGGACATTTTGGCACCAGAGCAAGAGTGACACTGGAGAACATCCTTGAAGTCAAATGAAATTGGTGCAGCATTTAGATAATCCTCTTCACCTCTCTGCCCAGACTTCAGTGAACGAGTTCTCTCCAAGCCCTTAGCAAAACGGAATGTTACCTAATTACTCTCAGCATTGACGTTAGAAAAACAATGCTGTGAGGGGAAAAGTCCACAAAACAATAGTCATGGTTATTTTCTTGTTATAGTTTATTATTATCTTTTCTCATTATATTTACTTTTACTTTGCTTTCCTTTATCTAAATAGCCCTGAAAAAAAAAAAAAAAAAACAACAACAACAAAAAAAACTAATTCACCCTGGTACTCAATCTGTACAGCACATGCCAATTTAAGGTCTATAAATAGGCCAGAGCCTGTTATATCTTTCATCAATTTGACTGATAGGAGTAGCATTTCCACACATCCCTCCCCACCTTGGGAAGTATCTGGTTCATACACAGATGTACACACATACACATTCAATCTTTTTTCTTCCAGAGTCTGCTTTGCTTACCCATCCCCCAACATATACAGGTTTTCATGGATGAAGGATATTTTCCTATATAGTAAGGTTTGGGGTGGTGTGTGTGTGTGTAGGCTTGTTTGTGTTCATTTTTTTAGTATTTTTAAGTCTTTTTTTATAGTATTTTTTTCCTAATGAGCAAGTTCAGGTATAATAAGTACAGTTTCAGGGTGGATGTTACTACTGATCTGCCCACAGGTGACACCTCAGTGAGAGAGAAAAGGAGCTCTTCATAGTGACATTACAGTAAGAAGAATGAAAATCTGGCCTAAATACTCTAGGTGATTATAGGGAAATCAGGATGTTTTTCCAGAGCGTTAGAGTCATTTTACTTTCACTCAAGATAAGCTGAGAAAGAGCTTTGTTCATAAGGGTGACATGGGACAAAATCTTTTCAATATCTCCCAAGTGAGGAGAAGGTGGCCTGTCCTCTTCTGGGTGGGCTTCCAAGTGGGCGATAACAACTCAGTTGTTTTCAAGGCCAAGTACAAACATCAGAGATTGCATTTTCCATTCCATGCAATCCAGTGCTCAGTATTAACCCTAGTGGAAGAAAGGTGATTAAAGTGATTTGAAAAGACACGGGAAGGGCTGGAGAGATGGCTCAGGGGTTAAGCGCACTTGTTGCTCTTCCAAGAGGATCCAAGTTCAGTTCTCAACACCCACATAGTAGCTCACAACCATCTGTAACTCCAATTCCAGAACATCTGACACCCCTTTGTGACCCCCAGGGGCATCACGAAGGCAGGCAAAACTTACACACACACAAACAAACTTAAAACAGATTTTTTTTTTGTGGGTTTTTTTGGGGTGTTGTTTTTTGTTTTTGTTTTAATGAATGCACACTGCTTTTACAGAGGACACAAGTTTTGTTCCCTGTAACCACATTGGGCATCTCACGACCATCTGTAACCCCAGTTCTAAAGGACCCAACATCCTCTTCTAGCATCCAAGGACACCAGACACGTAGTGCATATGCATTCATGCGTGTAGTCATCCACATAAAATAAAAATAAATCTTTATATTTTGTTATTTATTTTGTGTGTATGGATATTTTGCTTGCATGTTGTCTATGTGTCACAAGTGTGTGATGTCTATTCAGGCCAGAAGAAGGGATTAGATCCTGCCTGGGACAGTTGTGAGCCACCATGTGGTACTGAGAATTGAACCCAGGTCCTCTGGAAAAGCAACCAATGCCCTTAATCCCTGAGCTGTCTATCCAGTCCCAAAATAATTATTTTTTTTAAGAAGCAAAGTAATAACCAGGCAGTGGAAGCATACAGCTTTAACCTCAGCACTCAGCAGGCAGAGGCAGGCCACTCTCTGTGAGTTCAAGGCCAGCCTAGTCTACAGAGCGAGTTCCAGGACAGCCAGGGCTGTTACACAGAGTAACCCTGTCTGGAAAAAAAAAATAGAAAAGAATCAAGCAGTTTCCTAAGTGAATCATTCTATGTGGGAAAGTAGTGTTTGCCCTGGATCTATGTTTCATGTCCTGCTGGTTTACGGGAATAAGTTAAAATATGTTTCATGTAAGTTCATAGACTGTTAGCTATAGTCGTCATAGATGACTAGAAGTAACAAATGGCAGTTATGGGATGTGAGGAGAACCCATAGGAGATTCATGCTCTGAAGTAATTTATGGTCTGATCAGGGTGTTGAGATCCCTGTGCATTAAACAGGGAATGCGACAATTAACAGTATGGCTTAGTTGTGTGGCAGCTGGAGTAAAGACAGGTGAATGAGTGGCGGGGACCACAAGAGGAGAGAGGGTCTCAGCTACCCCGTTTAAGGAGCCTCTTGGAGGATGTGGGGGAAGATAGAGTAGTGAAGGCAAAACTTTGGGGTTTTGTAAATAAAGGAATTTTGACACAGTTGTTTCCCTGAGCAAAATTTTGACTTGGAGGCACAACTTGGCTGTAGACCCTATGCTTGAGGTGTTTTCCCAGACTCGGTTGGAAGGAAGAAGGATGGAACAGAGGGAGACTGAGATTTCATGTAATGGCTAAGCCTGTGACCCAATCTCTTGGGAAGCTGAGGAAGGATTGTTGAGAGTTTGGGGGCTAGGTTTAGCTAAGTGAGGACCAGATGACAGGGGAGGAGAGAAGTCCCATGCATATCTGAATCCTCAGTTGCAGCAGAGTGTCTAGTAGAGAAAATCACTCTGATGCCTTGAAGTTAACTGACTCAGGAAGTAGCTGAGAGGAAACACTTCCAGGCTGTATCAGCAGTTTATCTTTGTCTAGCATTCACAAAGCCCTAGGTTCAGTTCCTGATCCCCCAACCCAAAAGTTTTTCTCTAAATCAGATGTGATGGCATATGACAGTAATCTCAGTACTTCAGGGGTTAAGGCAAAGGATTTTGAGTTCAAGGGCAGTCTAGCTATACATCAAGATTCTATCTCAAAAAAGGTGGACAATAGGCATTTACCTAAAAGGCTGCTGGGAGCCTGGCTTGGAAAACTGTTAAGCTTGGATTAATTTCATCAACCTGGATAATCACTATTTTTCAGTTTTTCTTGTTGTTGCCAGAGGTGTCAGTCCTAGGGATGTAATTTAGAGGCTCATTAACAGCAAGAGATCTAACACTGAGCCACATACTGCCCTGGCCCTAACTGCCAAGCTATTGCCTTCAGGTACATGCCTGGTCAGGGGCTCCTCATGGTAAACTCCCCCTAAACTCAAAAAGATGCGAGAGTAGGAAAACCCACTTACTGGCACTCATTATCTGCTTGTCCCTCACAATAACCTCTGTGTGCTCAGCACGTACTATCTTTTCTTACAGATAAGGAAATGAAGGCTCAGAGGGATAAGCAATTTGCCAAAGGTCATACAACAAAAATTTTTGAAGCCAAGATTTCTAGCCTCAAACACTTAAGCATTATTATCTATTCTTCTATTTTCTCATTATGGTGTGTGTGTGTGTGTGTGTGTGTGTGTGTGTGTGTGTGCCTGCTTGTGCATACAGGTTAGGTACAACTTGGGGAAGTAAGTACTCTAATTCTACTCTGAGTCCTGGAGCTTGAACCCAGGTCATCAGGCTTGACCACAGGCACAATTCCCAGCCCTGTTTCCATTACTATACATTAAGTAAGCATTTTCCTTGAAAATCTCTAGTCCTGATCTTTATAGATAAAATGGTCACCTCTGCATTTCTGTCGAGGACAGTTCTAGTGTAAGGGGAACTAAGTGGCAGCTGAGGGGGCGTGGAGGGAGATGATGCCTCTGTTGCAATTACAGGGGCATGAGGATGCTCAGCAACTCCCAAGTAAACTATAGTCCTTCCTAGCCATGTGAGAGGTGGGTCTCCTGAGTTACCAGATGCCTAGGTAGGCTTTATACCAGTAGTGTATCTAGTGTA